CTCTTTCTCTCTCTCTCTCTCACTCTCTCTCTCCCCCCTCTCTCTCCCCTCTCTCTCTCCCTCTATCTTCTCTCTGTCTCTGTAAGCTTTACCGTTATCATGTGGTGAATGGGAGAAATTAAAAGAGTGCACCGCGTTTTGACAAAGAGAAGTCACTTTCTCTCTCTCTCTCTCTCTCCCTCTCTCTCTCCCTCCCTCTTTTCTCTGTCTCTATTGACTTTACTTTTATCAAACCAGCAAAGCAGATGGAATCCATGTCATCAGAATACTTAAACAACCTGTCATCTAGCCATAAAGTTTGTCCTACCTGATCTTTGCCCACCGGTTCCGCTGACCCTCTCCTGGACGTAGTCTTTGAAGATTTCCTGGATAAACTTGGACCTGGTTCCTTGTGGAGAATAGGAGAAATCAAATATCGATCAAGTGATTTGAAATTGAAGGTGACATGGAACGGTGCAAACTAATATAATATTGATCACGTGGTTTGACAAAGGATGAATAGTAACAACCTTACACTCTCATAAATTAAATCATTTATCAGAGATGATTACAACTTATTTCGAAACGTTAAAAACAGCATAGCAGATAGAAATCTATTTCCCACAATATTTTAACAAACCATTACTCAGCCATAAAGTTTGTCCTACCTGGTCATTGTCTACCCGCTCCGCTGACCCTCTCCTTGTCTTTGAAGATTTTCTGGATAAACTTGGACCGGGCTCCTTGTGGTGAGTGAGAGAAATTAAAGTATGTATCACGTGGTTTTCATTGATGCTTGATTAAGGGACTTTTGGGTTACAATATCCAGTACAAAGTTTCCATAGATAAATTCAGAGATTGCACCAGCTCGCCACATTCCACAATATCAGAATTCACCCAACTTATCCACCCTGTTACTGGTCGCCACAGCGCAAGGTCATGCTGTAGTTTTTTACAGCTAGGTTTGCCTTGTTCTTGTTCAAGAACAACACTCTGTGGTCACCCATCGCGTCACCGATATTGCTAGACATCGTTGGAGAGTCGGCGCTCACTACACGGGTCACTCCACAGCCGGGGGAATTTCACCGTAGGGCGAGTTGTTCCTTTTCCTAGATGTTTTAGCAAGAGTTTTACGGCACTTGCAACGCATTAAGGTCATAATATAAGTTCCGAAGATTAGATGTGTTACAAGAGATTAACAAACAGAAAAAAGAAGGAGGGGGAGATAATGACGATATGTGTTTGAAAGGAAGAAAGAAGCAAACCACACCAGAGCACCCCCCCCCCCCCCCACCCAACCACCCACTTTCCAAGATGATCTATTTTTGTCTAGACAGGCATTACGCACAAATGAGTAACATTATCGAAAGTTCAGTTGTTGTTTTTTTTAAATTTTCCACAAATCGGAATATACCGCAAAATAGTTTCAACCATTCGTGTTCCCACGGTACTTAAAACACACTCGCCAAAAAGTTTGTCCTACCTGTTCAATGTCCAACGGTTCCGCTGACCCTCTCCTGGACGATGTCTTTGAAGATTTCTTGGATGAACTTGGACCTGTCTCCTTGTGTGGTGAATTGGAGAAATTGAAAAACAAATTATCCTGTGGTTTTACAAAAGGAGGAATGTGCCCCAATTAAATATTGGGGTTATGTCTAGAGCCACTCGGCTCGCCACAATAGTATGTCATGTTTTGTTTTAAAAATTGTGTGTGTGAGTGTGTGTGTGTGTGTGTGTGTGTGTGTGTGTGTGTGTGTGTGTGTGTGTGAGTGCGTGTATGTGTGTGTGTGAGAGAGAGTGTATGTGTATGTGTTTGTGTATATCTGTGTGAGTGTGTGACTGAGTGTATGTGTGTGAGTGTATGTATGTGTGTGTGTAAGTGTGTGTGTGTGTGTCTGTGTGTATGTATGTGTGCATGTGTGTATGTGTGTGTGTCTATGTGTGTGAGTGTATGTTTATGTGTGTGTGTGTGTGTGTGTGTGTGTGTGTGTGTGTGTGTGTGTGTGTGTGTGTGTGTGTGTGTGTGTGTGTGTGCCTGGACAAAGGTCCCAGTTGTCTAAGCTATTTTTGAGCAACGGGGTTAAAAAGGCCAAAACGTCGTACCTTGTCATAACTTTAGTTCCACCAGAAAACACATGTTTAACAATTTCGTATCATAATAACATATGGAACGAACTTCATAATATTTTTAGTCTAAACATTTCTTTAGTAGTTAATTTTTGCAACATGTTCTTCACCAAAGGTTATCAATGTTCTAGAAATTATGTATTTCTCCAAACTTTGTTTTTACACCCTGAGTTACAAAATGATGCATTTTATCTTTAAAACTACTCAAGATATTAGAGAATTTAATATGTCACCGTGTTGAGCCTTAAATGTGCTATTTATATCCAACATTTTCGACCATAAGGACCTTTCTCCTGGCACACACACACATACATTCTTATAAAAAAAGACAAATAAACGATAAAGTACACTTTCATTTCCCACACCAGGGTAGTGCTACTGACTGAAGTTGTCTTTAGGCCATTCCCAAATGGAGGGGGATATTAACATATTCTTATGCACAGTAGAATTGTAAATGGGCTGTTTTATCAATGTCATGCTCATACTGTGTCGAAACAACAAAGAGGGAACTGCTGCTTTTCTTTCCTCATCCTTAATACCTTCATTTTTCCTCTACTCCTTTTGTATATTTGTCACTCTCTTGTGAACTGCTATGTCCAGGGCGCCTTGATAGTCGAAGTAGACTATTTGCTGTTTAGGCTTAAGAGGTGAGCAGAGTAAGCCTGATTCCCCGTTTGGACTTCTCTGTTGACAATCACCCTTTGGCGCTCATATGACCTTATGCAGTTAGTTACGAGCAACGCAGAACCTTACTAAAACTAAAACTAAAAGAATTTTCATTGATGGTTGATTAAGGGACTTTTAGGGTTACAATAACCAGTGCAATGTGTTTATAGATAAATTTAGAGATTGCACCAACTCACATTCCACAAAATCAGAATTTACACAACTTATACATTCGGTTATTTGTCGCAACAGCGGAGGGTCATGTTGTTGCTTTTTACAGCTAGGTGTGACTTGTCTTGTTCAAGAACAAAACTATGCGGTCACCCATCGCGTCACCGATAGTGCTTGACATCGTTGGAGAGTCGGTGCTCACTACACGGGTCACTCGAAAGAGGGAGCGAATTAATGTCTAGGCGAGTTATTCTTTTTCCATATTAATCTGTGCTTGTCTGGTGGGGTCCTTAAACACGCATAAATAAATAGCATAATTGAAAGGGGAAAATATTATTAAAAAACTGTCTGCAAAACGTCCTCCGCCCACCGAAGAAGAAGAAG